TCTGTAAAAAAAACTCTAGTCTGAACTGATATTTTTTTTTGCAGAAAGAATATTAGATTTCTTTTTAGGAAAATACAAATAATAATACATACGGATAGGTGTATATGTTAAAAGATTTCTTTTTAGTCGAATGAATTTTCTGTTTATATATAAATATATGTTAAAAATATTTTATCTTTACAATATTGATATACACACACATATATATATATATATATATATATATATATATATATATATATATATATATATATATATATATATATATATGCATATATGGTATACAGAGTATTGGTGCAAGCATTATGTAATGTTCTATATACATTGTGATTTAATTTAAAAGATCTATTATACATACAGGTTTATATCATCATTAATAACGCTTAAGAGAAGACAAATTATATGTATATATATATATATATTTGATATAGAAATATATATATATATATTTCACCATGTCTCTATCTCATGAAAATGTACTCATATTTATAATACGAATAAAGATTTCATTGTTGATCGTATATTCTTCTTAAATATAACAAAGAAAAAATAAATATTAAATAAACTTACGCCATATGTAAACGAATATTTAAACAAAAAAAAAGGCAATGAAATTTATATGAATCATTTTAACAACTGATCAAATACATTAAATATTCACTATTATCGCGATAAATTATGGAAATAATCAAATTCTAAAACGTCACGATACTGTCATTTTTACATACATAGATTTTCTACACACGTCTTATAATGATACGTGAAGAGAATTCATTATATTCTTATCTTAAACATTTACATGTCGTATCATAAATAATTTAAATTTACAATAAATTATAATATCATTATTTATCTTTATCTACGGTTTTACATATGAATTGTAAATCTTATTATAACAAATTTTTACTCTCGTTAATTAATTATACATAATCTATTTATTTATTTATGATGAATAAAGTATGTATGTTATTATATATATCTATATATTTTCAATCAAATTCGTTTTTCAATGTAATTTAAATTATGTATATATATATATACATATATACATATATATGTATATATATATACATACATAATATATATACATATATATATACATAATAAACATAATAATAAACATATAATAATATACATATTTTATTCGTCATAAATTTTATCCAACGAAGGAAATATAAGAAGTATACATTTTTTAAATCGTACATAATTTTTGCACGTGGCGTACATATGTACAACATATTCAGAGATTTTTTTTTCTCTCCTATATTTATAATATTTCAAATGATTTAATCGACGTTTAGTTATGTTTCCTCGTTTTTTTTTTTTTTTTATCTTTTTCTTTTTTTTATTTTTCTAATTATCATTCGTTTCAGCCTTAGAAACTTTAACGTGTAATAAATATCTTAGATCTTTTATTTTTGCCCTTATTCGTATTATTGCGAATCGTTAAAATTTCGAAAAACAAAAAGTAATAGTCCAAAAATAGCGAAACACGAAATAAGATAAAAGGAAATGAAAATTTTCATTACCGAATCAATTATTATCTATCGGTAGATAATGAAAGACTTATTATCGTGACTTTACAAAAGATAATTGACAATTATTATCATAATTGAACGATGCGTATACGTGAATTGAATGAAATAATTGAATGTCATAATCAATTCTTTTGAATAAAAAATATTATCTACGAAGAACAACAACAACAACAACAACAACAATAACAATGACAATAACATTTGTTGTTCTTTAATATAAATCACATTGTCTAAAAATTGAATTTGATTGGAAATTAGAAAATTCTAATCTGATCTGATTATCATTATTTCTTTTATCTTTCGTTTACCTAATTCTAATTCTCATAATTTTTTTCTTATTAATTTTCTTTTTTTCCTCATATTAATTATTCTCTTCGATTATGATTTTCTTCCTACTCGAAAATCGGTCTTTTTTAATCAATAGATATAATAAAAATTAAATGAAATTTGAATGTTAATTCTTCTTTCTTTCTTTTTTTTATTTTCTAATAAAAACAATATATATATATATATATATATATTCATACACACATACATTTGTTCCAATGCTCTTCAAATTAAATAGTTAATCTACAAATAAATTCATTTCTCGTTTTATCATTCTACCGTATTTATTCCTAATATTTTAAAACATTAATAATTTCCTATTCTACTTCGAAAAAATCAAAATTTATTGTATTTGATAACAATAAAAGCCTCCTTTTTTTTTTCTTTTTTTCTTTTTTCTTTTCTCTTCTCTCCTTTTATGCAATAAATACGATTAAGAAAGTTTCATCAACTTTTTGCGTTTGTTTTTCCATGCGAAAAGAAAAGAAAGAAAGAAAAAAAAAGAAAAAAAAAAAAAAAGAAAACATTTATAAGCTCCAGTTATGCCACACTTTAATATCATAATATTAAAACTTTATGTCACATTTTAACATCGTAATATTAAAACGAATGTCATTTAGAAGAAAAAAAAAAGAAAAAACCATTAAAATTTTTTTCATTTAAAAATGAGACAACAAAGAAAGTTCCTAAGTTAATATTATACTTCATAGAAAATTAACATTTTCGTCGAATTAAATCTAATTCTCATTTCAATTATTTTCAATAGGATCAATTTGAAATTCATTTTAATCAATACAATTTTATATACGTACACACGCACACACACACACATATATATATACACACACACACACACACACACCACGCGCACACAGATATATACACACGTAAACACAGATATACAGAACTTGTGCATTAAAAAAAAAAAAAAAAAAAAAAAAAAAAA